TTTAGCAGGAGGTGTTAAACATTACCTGTCACATTAGCTGACACCAAAAAACAGGGTACCCAAACGGCATTTTCGGACTTTTTCCATCTGCAAACACGGCTACCCTCAAATCCACGTGTTTTCACTGTGTTTATAAACACCTCGAGTGCACTACAGGAAGTAGCCTCCTATGCCATGAAAAAAATAGTTCCTGTCAAAAACCTTTATTTATTCACAAAGTACATAAAATTTACTAGGCACAGGTACCAAAGTTGTAAAAATGGCATGGAAGAAAATAGAAAAACGTCTCAAAAGGAAAGAAAAAATATTTTATATATATGGACCTACATTTGACTAAGTTCATTTTGATTGGTCAATTACCGGTGTGATACCTTGAAAACACATGTATTCAAACCGGATGTTCTACAGTCTGAATTTAACTACAAAACCATGCTCGGTGTAACTATTATCATCCGGATAATTTGAGCGGGGTTAAAAATATTTATTTTCTTTAATTCCGAAAAGTATTCATTTATATATAGAGAGAGAACATACATATGGAGCATACATTTTAATAAACATGATAAAAGGCGAAACGTTGCCATTTTATAACATACAGCATGCACATGCACGGTGCCTTTGGGGCCTCCATAATCTAAGTTATGCTATATCACTGTCTCAAATCTCTCTCTCTCTCTCTCTCTCTCTCTCTCTCTCTCTCTCTCTCTCTCTCTCTCTCTCTCTCTCTGCAATATATACACTTAACAATTTAAAACTTAGGTATCCAACTTTTCAAAATGGCGTCAGAACAAAAGTTGCCTCCGATAGTGAAGATTTGTTGCCAAATATTACAACAGTATTTTTTTTACTATTTACCGTAAAAAGTTAACAAAAATATACGTACAGTAATCCTTCATCGTTGGCCATTGCATTTATCACAGTCTTAAAGACACTGGGTGGTGAAACCATCTTAACTTTTCACATTTAGCAGCTGCTTACACCTTCTTCTTCGTCCTTCTCGATCCTCCAAAAATGGCGCTTCGGGAAATTGACCAATGAAATAAAGCGCCTACAGAGCGATGCAGGATGGGAAATATAAACTGTTTACATTCACTATGATTAAGTGTGATTATGAGATCTTATACTGAGTATTAGAATTTAATTAAGTTTTCCCCTTTTCATGGAATAAAAAGAGGGGCTCCTAAATATTTTTGCCGATATGATGTATAGGCCTAGTATATTTAGAAAAAAGCAGTTAAGGTAATTGTCCATACCACGTGAAATAACGCTATATGACGTTATTCTCGTCAGTGACGTTATTACGTCAAACGCACCCGACGCTTATTCTATCAAAAATGCCTGACGTCGATTTCACTTACAGTGAAAAGAAAGGTACATAAATTTCCAAATAAAAGGCATAAAAAATACGATGTTCAGTTATTTCCGGGATGCATGATCGAAGGAGAGTTTAAATTTAGATGATTTGTCAAACCGAAAGTACAACAAAGATGGCATGGGGACTGTCTCGAGTACAAGATAACTAAAAGACTTCGACAATCGGGTCGTTTTTTGTCTCTGTAAGTTGAAGAAATACAGAGTAACAAATAAAGGGTTCTCTTGTCGAAAGTCATTATCGTTTGCTTCTATGTTTGTACATAGACGATAAGACCTAGTACATATAAACCAAAATTTCGAACCACGGCTCAAGTATTCAGGTACTTTACTACTTTGCTTCAATGTTGCGATTTTTTAATGTCGTTTTTTCTCTTTTCAATTGTTTGAATTGAAATATTGTCCTCGAAAATCGTCCTATGGGGAATGACTCAGGATTTGAAAAAAAAAAAATATGGAAAACTTTTTTTACAATGTATATATAAGTATATCATAGATAAAACAGTTACTGCACAAATATAAATGTTCTGTTATTGGTATATCCTTGCACTGAAGCATTAAATAATTCTTGATAAAAAAACAGAATATTTCATTTAAGTAGGAAAGGACATTGATGCATTTAAAAACAAATTCTTTATTACACACATATGCTGAAAATTTTGAAAATTTTGTTGTAAAGCTAGTGCACAATAATATTTAGTTACCATTTGTAGTGCTGTGGGTAGTGTATTGGTGCACCTGTCATTAGACAGGTGTCCTTGGTTTGATTCTTTTGTAAGTTGAAAAAATGCAGAGTAACAAATAAATGGTTCTCTTGTCGAAAGTCATTATCGTTTGCTTATTTAAGGAACACTGTCTTATTTTTCGAATTCATGAAGTGATCAATGGATTGGCTTGTGTGATAATTTGCATAAACGCCGAAAGGCGTTTATGCATAAAATTATCACACAAGCCAATCCATTGATCATCTTCATGAATTCGAAAAATCTGACAGTTATTCCTTATATTTACATGCTTTGATTCCGCCAATCCACGGGCTCCAAGCCTGCTTCTCTCTAGGTGTTGTCCCGCCCTGCACGTGGTTTTTTTTGGAACCGCGCCAAAACATTCATGAGGAAATAAATTACATTTACAATTGGTAATTTTATCACAGACAAAGACATTGGAAATGTAAATATATGCTTGTACATAGTACATACACGTATAACCATTTTTGAACCTTTTGGGCCTCTTGTTATAGTAATTTTTCTAAAGCCAATTTCCAAATTGATGATAAAATTACAAATGTGTCATCTACGGTATATACAATATGTATAAGATAATAAATGAGAAAAACATATGCCGAACAGACCCATCAATATCGGATGGGGAGGGGGGAAGGGTGTATTTCTGTCTTCAAGCACCCGTGAATAGTATACTGATAGATTAGATATCAGTAGCTAATAAGATGATGTGGATCCGTAATGCACCATGGTGTACTATTTACTATTCTAGATCATAATTTTATGTAAAACTGTAATAATGGTGGTTGGACTTAAACCCACAAATCTCATTCCACAATATGACAGTAACAAAAAAGGAAATACATGTACATGTTAATATAAGATGATAAATAGGAATGCCTATGAGGTCATAGTGGGTGATATAAAAAGGAATAAGGAAAAGGATAAAATTATCAGACAAATTGATAATTCAACTTTGTTTAAATTGTTAAGCCGAGTCCTTACAATGTTATAATTATATAATTAGGTTGTTCGTGCATGGTTTAATCATGCATTAATCATTAAAAACAAAGATAACCAGTTTCAATTTAGATTTCATGGATTTATGTCAAGATTGTGTATTGGACCAGCATGCAAAACTCATATCAAACCATTTTCCCCCAAATAAATGAGGAATCCTTCCCAAACTTATGAGTTAGGATTTTATGCTGTGTCATGTAGCATGATAAAAATTCATTTTTTTATTTGGTTAGAAAACAATTTTGAACAAGTGTAATTGAACTGCCTTAACTCTAGTACAAGTCAAATTGAACCATCTTGGATGTCCTGATTATTTTTTTTTAGGCACAGAGCAACAGAAAGAGTTTTTTTAAAGACTAGACATGTTCATAATGCATGTTCAATTTCTCAGCTACTTTTAATATACAATTATATATACAAATTAAATATTCAGTACTTATAATGATGTTCATCTGCTCAGACAATTACAGGTTCGAGAATCTGTGTCAATACTCATGAAACAAATGCTCACTGGATCCATATCAAAATATCACTTCAACATTGAAAATTCTATTTACTCAGGGAGTCTTTGGCTTTTAAAGCATCATACCGGTGACTTTTCATACCAATTTTACATAGATCAGTTTTTCCAAGGAGGGGTCCAAGGTCACTTTTAGTACAATTCATTGTTATCTTCGGACTTTCAGTAAGGTGTGGTATTCTCGATATATAATTAGCCTCTAAAATTTACACAGCTTTCATTCATTGTTGAAATATATGTGGCTGGGATAGAAATTCAGGCAAATGTCAAGAAGTGTAACTAATTTCAAATAACAGGATTACATATATATGAGAAAGAAGTAAGGGATTAAGTTGTCTCATCATTGTCAACAACGATTTAAAGTCCCTGATGTTATTAATTTCTTAACCAATTAAAATCTATTCGCCATTTGAAAGACACTAGTGCTGAGAATACCACGTCTTACTGAAAGTTCAAGGATGACACAGAATTGTACTGCTTGGTTTAGTATGTACATTTAATAACTCTGCAATGTCCAGGGGAACACACACACTCACCCCTAGATCCACCATGAAAATTTCAATCAAGAAGCATCATATAGAAATTATACTATGGAAACGAGAAAAAAAAATTATAAGTGCTGAAATAAATTATTGTGTAAGAGTGATTTTGACAGGTTGGTCTGAGTACATCAAACAAATAATCTTTTTATTTGACTTACTTAACCCTTTTAATTATGAACTCTTTCAGATAATTCATTTTATAACCTTTTCATGCTTATATTGATTTTAAAGATACATAAACACTTAACCACATACTTATCTATAGAATAAATGTTACATTTCTTTCTCTTTTTCAATAATTTTCTAGTCTTGATTCACATTTTCGAAGCTTGTGTCACACATCTTACAATATATGAAAGTAAGGGTTTGTCTAAGCATGTTGAGTGAGTTTAGACAGATGGGCATATAAGATTACTCAAACATGTCACTGTAGAATGTGTTCATAATTTACTAATTAAATGACATAGTTTTAGTAATGATGCTCTCAATGCAATTCTAGTCATCATGCAACTATGGAGCTTGGTGTTTAGAATTTATTAAACGAATTTGAGTTATATGCGGAAAACATCGATCAGACATTACAAAGTGGAAACACTGAACATATTTATCTCCGCTTACATATATTTTTTCTATTTATACATGGATAAAAACATGATAAACAACGTTGCACCTTACTTGGACAGACCCGAGCTTTTCCTGTGCATGCCAAGAAATCTCGTCCGGTTTACGCACTGTGGAAGTCAATAAAAGTGTAATTGATGCAAATCACCCATATTCCCCAAACGCTAGCAAGACAATTAACGGCAGCAGATTTCGATTTTGGGGGGGGGGGGGATCATAGGTTTTCAGCTTTCTTAGTTAAAGAAAATAAACTTGATATATTCCACCATTTATTTCTATCAGTGATATTTTTACATTAAAATGAAAATATTAACATAGCCAATCAGGTTGCGTCACACGGGTAATTGTTTTGACTGTAAATTTCCATATAGAATAAAAAGTCTTTAAAAAAAAAATTGGTAGTTGTTTACTTGAAAAAATATCTAGCAGGAGGTGTTAAACATTACCTGTCACACTAGCTGACACACTCTCACACACAAAACGGTACCTACACGGCATTTTCTGACTTTTTCTATCTGTAAACAGGGCTACCCTCAAATCCACGTGTTTTCAATGTGTCTATAAACATTCCGAGTGTACCGCAGGAAGTAGCCTCCTATTCCCGGGAAAAAAATAGTTCCTGTCGAAAACCTTTATCTGTTCAAAAAGTACATAAAATTTAATAGGCACAGGTACCAAAGTTGTAAAAATGGCTTGGAAGAGAATAGAAAAACGTCTCAAAAGAAAGGAAAATCAATTTTAAATGTATGGACCTACATTTGACTAAGTTCATTTTGATTGGTTAATTACCGGTGTGATACCTCTACCCATTTAGTACTCCTCTCCCCTCTTGTTTAACCAGGAAATGATGTCAACTTCCGGGAATCTGGTACCCCTTTTTCCCATAATTCGACGCGCGCTACTTCCAAAACTACCATGTTCATCGTACCCGACGTTAATTTATGCTCAGGAAAAAAAAACTATATGGAATTACGTAAAAAATTGAAAGACAGCTTATTTCTACTGACGAATTAGTTTACTATAATTAATAATTTTGTTTTTCTTTAACTTACTTTTTTTCTTACAGTATTTGATAAATATGACCCCCCCCCCCCCCAAAAAAAAACAACAAAAAGAAAAGAAAAAAAAAAGAAGGGGTACAAAGGCTTCCAAATAATTAGTTTTGTACCTATGTTTTAAACCCAGTAAAACTTAAGATCCCTCCCTCAAAACTGCTGACATTAATTGCCTCGCCAACATCTCTCTGGGGAGTTTCACAGATTAACGTTAATTCGGCTTTTACTGAGTTCGCTCTCCGGACAGACTGCTAAGGTTTTCTTGGCATGGTAAAAGATCTCAACCCCCCTTTTCTGTTAGTTTGAATTCCATTTCTAATGCATCAAATTCTTTTGATATAATATATTTAGGCATAAAATGACTTATACCGGTAATAATTTTGATTTAATGGACCGGGCGAAATGACTGAAATCTGCAGAACACCATAATATACAGATAAAAGTAACACTCTCAAATATTTTTTATGCAAAAATAATTAAATTTAAATATTTGAAAAAAATCCTTAAACGAGCAAAATTCAAATCACGACAAGGTCAAAAATATTATATGTATCTCACACAACTTTTCTGGCTGATTTTCTGACGGTAAAAGATCTCAACCCCCCTTTTCTGTTAGTTTGAATTCCATTTCTAATGCATCAAATTCTTTTGATATAATATATTTAGGCATAAAATGACTTATACCGGTAATAATTTTGATTTAATGGACCGGGCGAAATGACTGAAATCTGCAGAACACCATAATATACAGATAAAAGTAACACTCTCAAATATTTTTTATGCAAAAATAATTAAATTTAAATATTTGAAAAAAATCCTTAAACGAGCAAAATTCAAATCACGACAAGGTCAAAAATATTATATGTATCTCACACAACTTTTCTGGCTGATTTTCTGACGGTAAAAGATCTCAACCCCCCTTTTCTGTTAGTTTGAATTCCATTTCTAATGCATCAAATTCTTTTGATATAATATATTTAGGCATAAAATGACTTATACCGGTAATAATTTTGATTTAATGGACCGGGTGAAATGACTGAAATCTGCAGAACACCATAATATACAGATAAAAGTAACACTCTCAAATATTTTTTATGCAAAAATAATTAAATTTAAATATTTGAAAAAAATCCTTAAACGAGCAAAATTCAAATCACGACAAGGTCAAAAATATTATATGTATCTCACACAACTTTTCTGGCTGATTTTCTGACTCGGTAAAAGATCTCAACCCCCCTTTTCTGTTAGTTTGAATTCCATTTCTAATGCATCAAATTCTTTTGATATAATATATTTAGGCATAAAATGACTTATACCGGTAATAATTTTGATTTAATGGACCGGGCGAAATGACTGAAATCTGCAGAACACCATAATATACAGATAAAAGTAACACTCTCAAATATTTTTTATGCAAAAATAATTAAATTTAAATATTTGAAAAAAATCCTTAAACGAGCAAAATTCAAATCACGACAAGGTCAAAAATATTATATGTATCTCACACAACTTTTCTGGCTGATTTTCTGACGGTAAAAGATCTCAACCCCCCTTTTCTGTTAGTTTGAATTCCATTTCTAATGCATCAAATTCTTTTGATATAATATATTTAGGCATAAAATGACTTATACCGGTAATAATTTTGATTTAATGGACCGGGCGAAATGACTGAAATCTGCAGAACACCATAATATACAGATAAAAGTAACACTCTCAAATATTTTTTATGCAAAAATAATTAAGTTTAAATATTTGAAAAAAATCCTTAAACGAGCAAAATTCAAATCACGACAAGGTCAAAAATATTATATGTATCTCACACAACTTTTCTGGCTGATTTTCTGACATGCCAAGAAATCTCGTCCGGTTTACGCACTGTGGAAGTCAATAAAAGTGTAATTGATGCAAATCACCCATATTCCCCAAACGCTAGCAAGACAATTAACGGCAGCAGATTTCGATTTTGGGGGGGGGGGGGATCATAGGTTTTCAGCTTTCTTAGTTAAAGAAAATAAACTTGATATATTCCACCATTTATTTCTATCAGTGATATTTTTACATTAAAATGAAAATATTAACATAGCCAATCAGGTTGCGTCACACGGGTAATTGTTTTGACTGTAAATTTCCATATAGAATAAAAAGTCTTTAAAAAAAATTGGTAGTTGTTTACTTGAAAAAATATCTAGCAGGAGGTGTTAAACATTACCTGTCACACTAGCTGACACACTCTCACACACAAAACGGTACCTACACGGCATTTTCTGACTTTTTCTATCTGTAAACAGGGCTACCCTCAAATCCACGTGTTTTCAATGTGTCTATAAACATTCCGAGTGTACCGCAGGAAGTAGCCTCCTATTCCCGGGAAAAAAATAGTTCCTGTCGAAAACCTTTATCTGTTCAAAAAGTACATAAAATTTAATAGGCACAGGTACCAAAGTTGTAAAAATGGCTTGGAAGAGAATAGAAAAACGTCTCAAAAGAAAGGAAAATCAATTTTTAAATGTATGGACCTACATTTGACTAAGTTCATTTTGATTGGTTAATTACCGGTGTGATACCTCTACCCATTTAGTACTCCTCTCCCCTCTTGTTTAACCAGGAAATGATGTCAACTTCCGGGAATCTGGTACCCCTTTTTCCCATAATTCGACGCGCGCTACTTCCAAAACTACCATGTTCATCGTACCCGACGTTAATTTATGCTCAGGAAAAAAAAAACTATATGGAATTACGTAAAAAATTGAAAGACAGCTTATTTCTACTGACGAATTAGTTTGCTATAATTAATAATTTTGTTTTTCTTTAACTTACTTTTTTTCTTACAGTATTTGATAAATATGACCCCCCCCCCAAAAAAAACAACAAAAAGAAAAGAAAAAAAAAGAAGGGGTACAAAGGCTTCCAAATAATTAGTTTTGTACCTATGTTTTAAACCCAGTAAAACTTAAGATCCCTCCCTCAAAACTGCTGACATTAATTGCCTCGCCAACATCTCTCTGGGGAGTTTCACAGATTAACGTTAATTCGGCTTTTACTGAGTTCGCTCTCCGGACAGACTGCTAAGGTTTTCTTGGCATGATCAGAAACCAGACGTTAAAAAGATGTGGCAAACAAACCACTTATTTGTATCTATGAATAGCGAAAAATGTATTACATAGACACAAAAAGTAGTTAAATGTGCCACTACTCTCATTTTTTAATCAAAAAAATCGCATCCAAACGACCAATGTTGAAACTGAAAGTATTTTCTTCTTTCATTTCCGTCATAACGTCACACATGCGCATTAACGGTATATAGAATATTACGAAGATTGAACCCGATTACTATTATGCTTGTGACTCATGAAAACGAATTCTTGGCTGTCTCTGCATTAAATATTCAACTTATAATTTAAACCATACTTATTAATGTTCTATTAACGATAGTTTTAAATATTTAAAGCAATTTTTGCACCCAAATCATAAAAGTGTAGATGTTAGAAAGGTTTTTCAAATAATCATTTTTCAGCAAATTTGGTATAAAAATGTGAAATTTTCTTGTTTGATGCCCGCTGCCCCACTTAATTTTTATGCCATATAAGGGAGGGACTATTGGAAAATAACGTGTTAATTTTAAAAAGAAATCTGTAGTTAGAATATCAAACAGCAATTTTATTTTTACTAGTAATGAACTTTATAATTTTTAGCTAAATATGTTTAATTCGCCCTAGAAAGTAATATTAGGTGGATCAGCAGATTAAAAAAACAATTAAACCGTTAAACAAGCATATTTTCTCTATAATTCATATGTTAAAAAAATTCTTTTGCTTTTAATTTTAGAAAGCTAGCATAAATATCTTAATTACTGCATTTCCGTAATTTCACGAGACTATGTCTATTTTTAGTAACAATCCTTTCAGAAGGAGGCCCGGTTGACCCCAAAATTTACACTGATCTGGAAAGGACAAATACTCAGTTAAGATTCTGAAAAGTTTCAACAAAATCTGTAGGTCCGTTATTTCTATAGCATGGTATGGATCTTTACCTTAAATACATGAGGCAAAAGGAGAAAAAAAATTGTTTCTTGCTTGACACCTCAACTTATTTGCCCTCGGGATATGGGTTTCGGGGCTTGGTTGTTGGTAGTGGCCGTCCTTGCTGAAAGTACCCCCCCCCCCCTCTCCCCGCTTCTTTTAACTGTTACATGTATGATTATGAATTTATAATGTCACACCAAAAGATGTTAAATTTTTAAAAGCACATTTTTTTTATTGTGAACTTTCCACAGGAATCCTAAAAGGCATGAAAATGAGCTGCAATTATAATATGATTATCAAGAATAGTTTTTTTTTTTATTTCAATATTGATGATTGAAAAGTTCGGTGATTAATAATTCATTGCTAATAAATTCTTGTGTTTTTTTTTCGGGGGGGGGGGGTTAAATTACTTATTGAACTCCCTCCTTTTCGGGGTTTAATTAGATTTTGAGCCTGCTATCAATATTACTGGTGGACCTGCTAGACTTTTCTCTAATTGTAACATGTACATTGTACTTTAAACTCCTTGGCCTTTAGCTAAAAAAATTTCCCACATCATTTTAACACGTAAAATTGTTAAATGAATCAGAATGGTGAAAACCTTTTTCTTAGGAGAGTTATATCTCTAGGTGGAACAAAACTAACATCTAATCAAAGGCAGGAAAATATAACAGTATTTCAATTCAGTATTTTAGTCGTGATTGGTATAAGCGAAGTCATGGGAAAGATTATGTCGAAAGTCATCTATACTCGTTGATGTGCAGGACTGTACTTATGCATACAGCTTTAGCTGGTCCCGCCCTGTATTTCTTTAATGTTTTTTTTTTCGTTAAGAAATCTGGTAAGGTATGTTAGTAAAAATAAAAGTTAGTTTATTACTCTAATGGAAATAACTTTCCTACAGGCCTGAAGATCGAGTCTATTAGTCACGCAAGTTTTTTTTTTTAGAAAGAGTAGCATGTCGGCGAATAAAAATAAAGTAGTGTACAACATAGATAAAGAAATGTTTGTAGAAGTATTGACAAACTTCATACCTTTATAGAATGAAATCAACAAAAACTGCACAAAAATACAATCGTGACAATTATACAATGAATTAATTATACAATTAATTCTTTTAATAGATTGCGTTAGCATGTACTACTTTAAAAGCCATTGTTCTTAAGGAAAACAAGATCATGCAAAATATTATAGACTTTTCTTTATCTAGAGCAATGGCCTTTGGAGAAAAAAAAATGGCTGAAAATTTTAAAGTTTGTTAAATATAATGTATGTGCATTTAGGACCCTACATTGTAATTTCATGCGAAAAGTGCAGGCGTTTACTACACGGGGATCTGCGTACATATTTAAACAAAAAAAAAAGGAAAGAAAAAAAAACGTTTTATGTGATGAATTACATTATAAACATTTATCTAATAAATGTCTTTGTAGTACGTTAGATTACAAATTTCACACAAAAACCCATCAGCAATATTAAATACAGTTTTGATTTCACATTGATCTATTAACGTCATTCTGATTTAATATAATAATTATACACAACGAGAATTAAGATCTATTCAATACCTATAGAAAATTATTTAATTTCTAAAGAGGATAGTTTTATTTTAAATCAGTAATGAAAATTGAAATAAAAATTCTAAATAGTTTGTTCTTTCATTGAACTTCTTAAATGAAGGTTATTTTATAAATATGTTTTCTTGTATAACTTAATTTATGGAATATACAATTTTTTAAATGATAAAAGAAACACGAATCATCATCTTAATTCAAAGGAATTTTCGGTCGGAGACTGTGTGTGTACATGCTCGACAACAGCCCATTGTTCCCTTTAGGTACAAAACCGTCTCAATTCACATAGAATATACAAAAAATACACAGTGACAGGTGTCTTCGCGGCACGTGTCTCCACCTGAAATGGCACGTGAGGATAGGTGTCCCTAATTACACAGGCCGACCATAGTGACTTTTTCAAAAGCTTTTTTTTTTTGGAAGGGGGAGGGGGGCTTCTCAAGGAAAAAATGAAAAGGAACCCACCCATCCCCAATAATAGAAATAATAATTTAATAAATTAAAAAAAAACAAAAAAAAAAAAAACAATATTCACTATTAATAGTAAAATACTAGTATGATAATACTCAACCCCAGCCAATTCGATGAATAATTCCTATCTGACCAGTTTATATTAATATATTAATTCATATTAAAACAAAATCTTTATCACTTTCTAAACTTGTATTTAAAAACTTGAAACACTAAAAATGTAATTTTGGCAAACCAACTGAAGTATTTTTTTCCTGACGGATTACCCCGGTATATAAGAAATGCCAACCTCTGGTATCTAACACAAATGCCTGGTAAGGTACCTTGATGTCTTGTGAATACATGTAATTATGTAAAAATAATTCTTCAATGTCAATTGCAAAATATTGGAAAAAAATTTAATTAATTTATTGAGGAACGTCCCACCTGTCCTTAATCAGTAATCGTAACTTGACATATTTCTTTATTTACTTTTTAATCGATCTTTTTAGTAAACCTTTTCTGTAAATAATTTCATTAAATGTACCCTTCCTTAGCTCTTCCATTTTTTCAAAGGAACATTCATCATAGACAGCTTCAAGAAAGTGGGATCGGAAATGATTGATTTCTACATAACTGCATGCACTTACTTTTTTTCTATTCCACTTCACGCATTCTATACGAGTTTACCAAAACTTATGTGATAAATCAAATTCAAAATTAAATAAAATCAAATAAAATTCAGTTAAATAAAATTAAATTAAAATTGAATTGCGTTCACAGTGCTGAAATATTAAATTAATCACACAGAAATACACATCTAGTTACTTTAACTGTTTGAAGTTAATTATTTTGATACAGCATGTAAACACTTTTGAAATATTTCTATAATTGGTAAAAATATGGTAACATAATTAAATATTTAACTTTTTGTAAAATAAAAGGTAGGTGGTTAGTATTGAGATATACTTTCAAAGTTTCCCTGCCTGGGAAACATGGGGAAAACTACACATTGGTGGCTTCCATGTCGGGAATCTGTATGGAAACCACTGAGGCATGTTTACATGGTTTCCTATCTTGGGAAACTTACGGGAAACCACAGGTTGGTTGTTTCCATATCGGGAATCTACATGGAAACCACCGGGGCATGTTTCCATGGTTTCCTATCTTGGGAAACTTACGGGAAACCACAGGTTGATTGTTTCCATGTCGGGAATCTATGTGGAAACCACCGGGGTATGTTTCCATGGTTTCCTATCTTGGGAAACTTACGGGAAACCACAGGTTGATTGTTTCCATGTCTGGAATCTATGTGGAAACTACTATGTGGTTTCCCTAAAATGGAAACTATATGGAAACTACTGATGTCACGATTCCCATATGTTTCCATCGGGTTTCCAAATTTGGGAAACCTGGCTTTTCATCCTGTGTAAAAGATGCGTATCCATTGCCCCGAATCAATGATTCGCCAAGTTCGCCTGGGAGGTGCTTCTTGGTTTTGCACTTTGGACTTACACTCAGGTTATTGGCAAGTGGAAATGGAAGAAGCCGATAAACCAAAAACCGCCTTTGTGATAAGAAGTGGGTTGTTTCATTTTACTGTCATGCCGTTTGGACTGTGTAACAGTCCAGCCACTTTTGAAAGGCTAATGGAAACTGTCCTCGCTGGCTTAAACTTCAAAATCTGTTTAGAATACATCGACGATATAATAGTTTTCGGAAGTACATTTGAAGAAACGCTTAAAAACCTGGAGCAGGTATTTGATAAATTGCAAAATGATGGACTGAAGGTAAAGGCTTCAAAATGCACTTTGTTCAAAAAGGAGTATTGTTTCTTGGATACAGAGTTTCAGGTGAGGGAGTGCATACTGATCCTCAGAAAGTAACTGCTGTTATGAAATGGCCAATACCAATTGATGCCAGTGAAGTTCGTTCATTCGTAGGGTTATGCGGCTACTATCGAAGATTTATTGCTGGATTCTCTTCAATAGCTAAACCTTTGTTCAGGTTGACTGAGAAGGGAAGAGAGTTTAAATGGACCTCAGATGCCCAAGAAGCCTTTGAAAAGCTCAAGAAGTGCTTTGTAAATGCTCCTGTACTAGCACATCCGGATTTTCCCCTGCCTTTTATTCTTGATACTGATGCTAGTCAGCTAGGATTAGGTGCAGTGCTTTAACAAAATATTGAAGGTCAGGTCAGAGTAATAGACATATTTATTAATGTTAAGCAAACACGTGTTTGTGTTTGTTTATTCTTGTCATATATTGGCTGTTAGAATGGTCACCTAGTCAGGTGACATAAATATTCATAGCACGGGCTATTACTGACCGTGAAAGAAATTCTGTATAGGGAAAGCCATTCGAAGGCTCTATTTCGTGCAGTCAACACGTTTTCGTCATTCATCATATTCTGTCATGGGCGATTCTGGAGACGAAATTTTGCTAGAGACTAATGATAATAAGAAAGTTACAAAGGAAACTACTGGTAGTAATCCTCCGTTGGATATTTCGGACGTGGTGAAGCTTGTTACAGGAGTTTTGCAGTCACAGTTTCAAAACCTTTCAGGTCAGCTTAAAGCAGAACAGTCGGAGTCCATTGCTAAGAAACTTAAAGAAAACTCTACTCTTAAGATTAAATCTGAAGGGAATCGCGCTCAGTACGATTTTAATGCTGAAATTCTTGAGGGTCTAGAAAAACTAGAGATAAGAGCTCTCGAAAATAAAGACAGTGAATCAGTGTTAATAATAGGCGAATTGCGGAAAAAACTGAAAACGCGCCAGAAATACATTCGTATTGCCGATTCATCTCCTGCAGGGTGGAAGACAGTAAACGAGTATCAGTCCAGAGAAATTGCCGACAACTCTGACGATGAGAAGAAAATTAGAAGCGCTGAAAACCGAGCCCTTAGGCAGCAAAGGCAAACCCAGAACAAGCGTTTCCACCCGTATGGCTCCTACAGAGCTTCTACAGCGTCAGCAGCGGCAGGCTCGGCAGCCCAGCTTACTTCTGGTTCTTCCTTTACTGCTACATCTCAGCCATATACATATCAGCAGCAGCCCTTTCGTGGCAAACTCACAAGGCGTCAACCACAGCCCAGCGACATATGCTTCAACTGTTTTTCCACTGGACACTGGAAAACCAACTGCCCCAAAAACAAGTCACAAAGTCAATGATAAGTATACAGGTTATACAAGCTATTCTACTCTTGCTGGCCAGGTGAAATGCCTTCAGAAAAATAATTCAAAACAAATGTCATTGATAAAGTACAATTTGAAAAGAAATGTTAGTAAATGGAGAGAAATTGGCACAAATCCTTTTATTTTAAAAGTTATTGAATCTGGATATGAAATTCCTTTCGTTTCAAATCCTCCTTCTATGTGTTTTCAAAATAACAAGTCTGCTATTAACAATTTTGAATTTGTTACTTCAGAAATTTCAGATTTGATGGAAAACAAACGTATTTTAGAAGTTCCTTTTCAGCCATTTGTGTGTAGTCCACTGAGTGTCGCCGAAAACAAAAATAAAAAGAGATTGATCCTTGATCTAAGTAGGCTAAATAAATATGTCAAGTATGATAAAATAAAATTTGAAGACTGGAAGACGGCATTAGATTATTTTGAAAAGGGTTTTTACTGTATTAAATTTGATCTGAAATCAGGATATCATCACATAGATATAGCTGAGAATTATCAAACTTATTTAGGATTCCAGTGGGAAAACAAGTATTACTGCTATACGGTTCTCCCTTTTGGTCTATCGTCAGCTCCATTCATTTTTACTAAATGCTTAAGACCCATCGTGAAATACTTGAGAAAAAATGGCATTATGATTGTATTATATTTAGATGATGGTTTGGCGTTCGCTTGTACTGAGGACCAATGTCTTTTAGATTCTCAATTTATTCAGAAAACGTTGTCAGAAGTTGATCTGGTGGTTAATGTTGAGAAATCACATTTTATACCAACACAAGTCATTGAATGGTTAGGTTTAACATGGAATTCAAATCTATTCTCTATTTCAGTTCCAGACAGACGAATCGATGATGCTATCTGTTGTCTACAGAAAACTATCACTCATTTTCCCGATGTAACAGCGAGGGAACTTGCAAGAGTAGTGGGGAAGATCATTTCTATGACTCCAGTAATGGGTAACATTTGCAATATTATGACAAGGTTTTCTTCTATGGAAATTGCTTTGAAAGAATCATGGGATTCTAAGCTATTTTTCAAGCATAAAGATCAAGTGTTTGAAGAACTAAAATTTTGGGTAGAATGTATGCGTTGTGACAGTACAAGATTTTTACATTCTGTTAAAAGAAAAAACGTAATCATTTATTCAGATGCAAGTAATTCAGCATCTAGTGCATATACTGTTGAAGTTAATTCTAAGGTGTTCCATTTGATGTGGAAAGAACATGAGAAAACTATGAGTTCTACATGGAGAGAGTTGAAGGCCATAGAATTGGCGCTGGCTTCTTTTAAGAAAGAACTACAAAATATGACAGTAAAGTGGTTTACAGATAATCAAAGTTGTGCGAAAATAGTACACTCTGGTAGCATGAAGCATCACTTACAAGTTTTAGCATATAATATTTTCAAAATGTGTGCCGAAAACAAAATTTCCCTCGATGTTCAATGGGTTCCGAGATCAGAAAATGAAAAGGCAGATTTTTTCAGTAAAATTATTGATCACGATGATTGGGAAGTTACTAATGAATTTTTTGAGTTTATTAGTTCTATGTTTGGTCCTTTCTCTGTAGATAGATTCGCAAACTATAACAATCGTAAACTTGTTAGATACAACTCAAAATTTTGGAATCCTGAGTCAGAGGCTGTAGATTGTTTTACACAGAATTGGGTGGGCGAAAACAACTGGCTAGTTCCTCCCATTCATTTGATAGTTTCTACTATAAAACATTTATTAGATTGCAAAGCATATGGTATTTTGATTGTACCTAACTGGCCCTCAGCTGTTTTTTGGCCAATGTTATTCGATTTAGAACTGTCTTATAAGGCGTATGTGAAAGATGTGTTACTGTTTAAAGATACAAGTGAGATAATCAGTCAAGGTCAGAACAAGAACTGTCTATTTGGTTCTATATATTTTGGCTCTGGAATACTTGTGGTACGTTTAGACGCTACAAATTAGTAGTTTATGATGGTGTATTGCAGATGGTTTAGGCCCTGGTACACTTTAAACAAAGATTTTTGCCGAGCTGGGCAAATGTATAGATGATGTATTGCAGATGACAAGTGGTCCTGGTACATCAGAGAGGGTGTATTGCAGATGATGAAGGTCCTGATACACCATATAATATGTTAAAGTTAGAAGATGCTAATTTTTTGCTTTAATAAACACATTTTTCAGATATATTTAAAGTGGACAGATGGACGGGAATTAATTGTGGATTACAGGATCATCGTCTAGCGGAACTTGCTTCTGAACTACCCAGATATTGTGTAACATCTAAGGCCGAAAATACAGCAAAACAGTACAGGTACGCTTTTAATACCTTTTGTAAGTGTTGTAGCAGCTTTAACCCTGGGATTCAATCACTTCCTGCTTCGGAAAACAACGTTGCACTATATATTATACATTTAGCAAAACAATGTAAATCGTCTGGCACAATACATTCAGCTATACATGCCATCAGTTGGGCACATAGCCTAGCAGGTTATATACATCCTTGTGACTCAGCTTTGGTAAAAACTGTTAAGGAAGGGGGAGTTAGAGAGACATCAAAACCAGTGATTAAAAAAGAGCCTATAACGCCTGAACATTTGAAAACTCTGGTTTCTACATTTGGAGAGGATGGAAATTTATACAATTTAAGAACATTGTGTATGTGCCTATTAGGTTTTGCAGGATTTTTGAGATTTTCAGAAATAGTTAACATTCGTTACTCAGATATCTGTATACAGACTAATTGTGTAGAAATTAACATTGTTAAAAGTAAAACAGATGTTTATAAAACTGGTCATAAAGTTTGTATTGCTAGAACATTTTGTGATACCTGTCCTGTAAATATGTTGGAAAAGTTTTTAAAATTGTCAAACGCTGACATGCATTCTCCTCTGTTCTTGTTTAGATCTCTGTCATTTTGTAAAAAATCCCAAACTTATAAACTGAGATCGGATAATCGTCCAATTTCTTATACAAGAGCAAGAGAAATCATATTGGATTCACTTGAAAAGATTGGTTTAGACAAGTGTAAATTTGGTGTCCATAGTCTGAGATCAGGTGGCGCTACCTCCGCAGCCGCCGCAGGTGTTAGCGACAGACTGTTTAAAAAGCATGGGCGGTGGAGGTCGGAAAATTCTAAAGATGGTTATGTTAAAGAAAACCAAATTGAAAAACTTTCAGTTACTAAGAATTTGGGCATTTAGGATATTCGTTTCAGTTCTAATCTTCTTTATCTTCGAAATAATTAAACTGCACTTTCAGAGCGCTTCATATCCTACTAGTATTTCACGAGTTTGTGTTTATTTCATAAATGTTTTATGTTCGTTTGAGTGAAACGAATAAGAACATAAACATATTTATTAATGTTACGCAAACACGTGTTTGTGTTTGTTTATTCTTGTCATCTATTGGCTGTTAGAATGGTCACCTAGTCAGGTGACATAAATATTCATAGCACGGGCTATTACTGACCGTGAAAGAAATTCTGTATAGGGAAAGCCATTCGAAGGTTCTATTTCGTGCAGTCTTATTAGTCCCACCCACCCGCCCATTGCTTAGTTTTGAATGTTATATTAGATTTATACCTTGTTGAAAATATTTATTTTCTATTTTGTAGAATTCGGACATTGATGAGGACAAAGAGATATTATATGTATTGTGTGAATTAATTAAACTGCACTTTCAGAGCGCTTCATATCCTACTAGTATTTCACGAGTTTGTGTTTATTTCATAAATGTTTTATGTTCGTTTGAGTGAAACGAATAAGAACATAACTTACGCTAGTCAGACATAATTATCTAAGAGTGAACGCAAGTATTGTGTTACAAGAAAAGAGCTCTTAGCTGTTGTTTTTCCTTGCCAACATTTTCGCCATTATCTTTACGGCCACAAAACAATTGTGCGAACAGATCATAGTGTTTTAAAACGGCTTATGAATTTCAAAGATCCATAAGGGCAACTAGCTAGATGGATTGAGTTTTTGGGAACATACGATCTTGAAATACACCACAGACCAGGGCGAAGCACGGAAATGCAGAAAGCCTCAGTAGATATCCATGTCGACAATGTGGATTAGAAGAAAGTGTGCAGGGCAGAGCATAAGATAAGGACATTATACAAGCTGTAGCTGCAGACCGGAGGCCTACTAATTCAACATCCGTGAGAGACATCCAGAAACACGATTCAGATCTTTTGAAGGTTAGGGAGTGGGTAGAAAAGGGCCAGCGTCCAGATTACGCTGAGATAAAACATGAAAGCAATCTAATTAAGTCATTGTAGTCACAGTGGAAGTCTTTAGAAATTAAGGAGAATTTACTTTCTAGAAAATGGGTAGGCGATAGGAAAATTTATAAGCAGGTGTTGATCCCATTATCAGAAAGAAGAGAAATCCTTAAGCAGTGTCACGATGTACGTACATCCGGACACCTTGGTGTTGCAAAAACTTATGTCGTAGTGATCTCTGACTACTTCACTAACTGGACAGAAGCTTACCCTCTGAAGAACATGGAAGCACAGACAGTGGCTGAAGTTTTAGTGGAACAATTCATAACCAGGTTCGGTGTGCCACAGATTATTATAATACTTCGTGATCAAGACAGACAATATGAAAGCAGCTTTTCAATGAGGTTTGCAATCTACTTGGTATACGGAAGACCCGAAACACAGCGCACCATCCCAAGTCCGATGGAATGGTGGAAAGATTCAATAAAACATTGGCTACCATGCTTAGCGCATACATGTACGTGTCTGAACACCAAACTGACTGGGACAAAAACTTACCTTATACCGGCCCTCTTTGCACGAAAGTACAGGCTATAGTCCAAACATGCTCATGTTATGGAGGGAGGTAGCAACACCTCTAGATATAATGTACGAGTTACCCAGTGATATGAAAGCGACTTATTTACATGATTATGTTTGGAAACTTCGTGAGAGTTTGGAAGAGGCATATAGATACACTAGTCTCGTTTACCCCGGGCTCTCGCTCTCGAGACTTTGCCCGAGCGAGAGTCTGGTCTGATTCCTATTTAATTTTTGTAACCAGTAGAGGTCGCTAAACCGGCTAACAAGATGGCGACTCCCATGAAAATACATGTGAGAATTTACTTTTTAAACAAAGATATGTGCGTTTTTTTGTGCCTTGTAAAGCAGACAAAGGTATTTCATTATAAAACCAGATAAAAGTAAAGGCGCAGCCTCTGAATTTTTAAAGAATACAGATCTTATCATCGAAGAGAATGTATCAGCCAATGAAAATCCATACCAATTTCTCGGTAAGCCTCGATTTGAAATTACAAAAATTAAATAGGAATCAGACCAGACTCTCGCTCGGGCAAAGTCGCGAGAGCGAGAGTCTGGGGTAAACGAGACTAATAGATACACTCGCCAAATAAGTAAACAATCAATGTTGAGGCAAAAGAAGTACCATGATCAGAATGTTGTAGAGAAAAGTTTCAGCGTTGGTGATAAGGTTTTAGTATTCTTTCCACAAAGAAGCTTGGGGAGGTCAGCAAAACTTATGAGTTTCTGGTACGGGCCATATACAATAATAGAGAAACACACTGATGTTACAAACAAAATCAGCAAAGATGACACTGCAAATACCCTCATTGTACATTTAGATAGGTTGAGACATTATGGGACTCAGGTCCTTTATAATGAAGTGAATGATACTGACCAACAACAAACATTAGAAATGGCAAACAACTGTGATGAACCACAGCTAGATTTAATGGGGAACTTAGAACTAAATGAGTTAGAATTAGCGTACTCCAAGCGCAGGCAATGCAAAAGGCCTACATGGCACTCAGATTATGAATTCAATTATGTAGTATAAAATTAATATGCTAAGTTATTGAACACAAGTTATTTTATTTTTTTTAGATCCAGAAAGATCAACATGCCGATGACAAAAAAATTCACCCCGGAAACCGGGATTTTTGTGTTCAATTTGTTTACTTCGTCTTCCTTCTCAGGACGAGTGGTGTAACCATTTTTTCTCTTGTGGCATGACTGACATCAAGAAAAGGAAGTCTGAGTGCGAGTTGTGTGAGCAAGCTTTCGGTAAGAAAACTGTGCTTACCAGTCACATGAGTAGAGTCCACTCCAGGAAAGAGCCAGACGAAACCGATAAGGCCGATCTAGTGGAAAAATCTCCGAGAGAGTCCCCTGAACGTGCCGTAGAGGAATGGGACGAGGATCCAGGAGACCTTATTTTTCAGCTGACATATTTAGAAATTGGAAGGACTCATAGAAAGAGGACTGCTCCCTGTCTACCAGGAGTAAAAAGACGACCCGTGGAAACAATCACTATGGAGTCGCATGAGGTTGAAACGGAACCAAGGAGCAACATGGGAGTTATTCAAGAGGTCTCCTCTGAAATTCAGCACTGTCCTTGTTGCAAAGTAAAATGTGGAACAGCTGACGTCGCCACACAGATAGAGATTAAGAGTCATCAGAAAACAATACGTGTTCTGAAAATGTATCAGAAGAATGGTGAATTAGTAGAGAGACTAAAAGAAGACATTTGATTTTACTGAACAATATTAGAGATGTGGGACTGTCTGAAATTGTACATAATTTTGTGGTATGAGTAAAAAAAAAAGTTTGATAGGTTTTTTTTTTATAATAACCATGTTCCCTGAGTTCCAAATAGTTTCAGGATAAAAAAATTGATAATTTAAATAAATTAAAAAAAAAATTCTTTATGTGCATCAAATCACATGCGAGACGCGTGATATCAGAGGCGTGGGTAATGTAATGGTTAAGGGGCGTTTAAATAAACGCAGAGAAGACCTTAAATAATGAATAATGGAATGACCTCACTACCCTTGGAATAGACCAGTCCAAGGGTATATAAAGCGATGCTTTAGGGAAATCAGGCATTCAGAAAGTTATGCCTGAAATAAGAGGACTGAAAGGGAAAGTCATTAGAAGAAGTAAAGGGTAAGAATAGAATAAGCACCAGTGGCAGGTAATCTAAAGAATTGAAGTTCTGGGTGCAGTGAATCTGCAAAAGATTGAGACACCCAGTTCTTTCCTATCCAAAGGAACCTAGGGTAGAAACACGGTGCAAAAGCCATACCCAGTCAACGTCTCTAGATAACAAAAATTTTAATAAATTGTGATTTTCCCACAGATAGAGCGGCCGTACAATTATTAGTCCAATCATTAACTCAGAGTAAGAGAAAAAGCTATATACTGTACATATATCCCTTGTTGAACCCAATCATGCACGTTGCAGTCTGATTTCAATATAACTTGGCACACAAGTAGACTACACTAAGATACATAATTCTGTATGTCGGTTTTTGATTTTGATGGAAGGTGTTGCCGTGGTTACTAAGAATAGAAATTTCTGTGCAATACTTTGAGAATGCTACTCCTCCTACAATTTTAGTCTGATTTCAGTATAACTTGGCACACTACGATTACACTAAGATACATAATTTTGTGTATCGGTTTTTGATTTCGATGAACAGTGTTGCCGTGGTTACTAAAAATAGAAATTTCTGTGAAATACTTTGAAAATGCTACTCCTCCTACAGTTTTGGTCTGATTTCAATATAACTTGGCACACAAGTAGACTACACTTAGATACATAATTCTATATATCGGACTTTGATTTCGATGAACGTTGTTGCCGTGATTACTAAAAATAGAAATTTTTGTAAAATATTTTTAAAATGCTACTCCTCTTATAGTTTTGGTCTATTTCAATATAACTTGGCACACACGTAGATTACATTAAGATACATAATTCTGTGTATCGGTTTTTGATTTCGATGAACGTTGTTGCCATGGTTACTAGGAATAGAAAGTTCTGTGAAATACTTTAAAATTACTACTCCTCCTACAATTTTTGTCTGATTTCAATATAACTTAGCACACAAGTAGACTACACTTAGATACATAATTCAGTATATCGGTTTTTGATTTCGATGAACGATGTTGCTTTGGTTACTAAAAATAAAAATTTATGTGAAGTACTTTCAAAATGGTACTCCTCCTAGTTTTAATCTGGTTGTAATATAATTTGGCATGCAATTAGACTACACTGAGACACATAATTATCAGTTTTATGTTTTTGATTTTGATGATTGATGTTGCCATGGTAACTGAAATTGAAAATTCTGTAAAATTTCATTAAAGGCTTGTCATAAAAAGTGACTTAATCAACGATCATTATTCTGTTCATTGCTTTTGTAAAGTTATATTAGTCCCAACTGCTACTGAGACTTCTGGTTGATATATGTTTCAGTAAATGGTAGCATCAAAATGGAAAACAGAAATAGGTTGTGACTTGTTTCCAATTAATTTAATTTGTTTTATTAATTGTCAGTTTTTCTTTTCCCATCCAGTAAATGTTCCAAAAAAAGGCCAAAATTGCTTTTAAATTTCTTCGTGCTCTGTGCATGCAGGTGACATATACTTCCTTTTTATCACAATCAATCACTTTGCCGGGATAGGGTTAGCTCTAGTAATTAACAAACACAAACTTAAAAAACTATATCTGATGGTAATGCATCATTTGGATCAAACTCGAGAAAAATTGCTGTATCTGATCTATCCTGTATTTCATCTGTTTCAGTTGATTTTGATTCCTCATTTGCCAAGTCTCCTTTTCTTTGATCGTTAGCACTTTCTATGTGACTATGTTCATCATCTTTCTCACTCATATTGCCATCAA